GTCTTTTCCAACCTTAATGATTCTATGATCTAGCTTGTCCTGCCCTCTCCCTTCCACCATCTATTTTATGGTAGAAATATGTTGCATTTGTGATTTGGTTTCCCTGCGAATGAAGTGATTTTGTCACCTATTAACTTCCCATTCTAGGTATATCCAACTGCGTAACTTTTTATGGTGAGATTGTAGCTCTTTGGGTCAAGGATTGTGTCTTGTTCTCTATTAGTATATATCTTAGCCCGGTGAGACTCATATGTGGCTTTAGGACTTGTAGGCATCACTTCAATGGGTATCATTAATGACAATCTCTGTACTGCTAAGAATTATCATTGAGCTGCTCTACACAGTCATGTCACAAAAAAAGTAACCGTTAATGTAAAAGTCTTCAAAAGTGTTCTGGGGAAAAAAAAAATAATATGAGCTGTAGACATACAAAAAAGACAGTTGTTTAATACAGGACATAATTATGTTATTTTTCATTATGTATTGTATATATGATGCTTTCTGACATAGCTTTAACAACATGACTTTGTCCAGAACAGTTTGATAGCCAAATAAGAAGTTCAGTGCCCACTCTTACTGTTTATAACTTGGTTTTCTTCTAGTAAATATAAAGCTTTGCAGGTACTGTTAGAAAACAGGCAGAGTAAATATTAAACAATCACTCAGTTATTGTTGAGCTCTGTCACTTAAACAGCTGTATTGACACTTTGCTTTTAGACAGCTCAGTACAATAGGTTTAGTTTGGTAAACAGCAGAGTGTGTTGGTTTTATATAGAAGCTGTGTGTGAACATCCTGAACAGCCTGATGGTAAATGGCCATGAGCTGGCAAGAGAACTGGCTCTTTAATTCAGTTTTAAAGTGAAGTGCATTCATGACAATAGCAGGAGGCTCCCAGCGCCTGGGTCTGTTCCAGGCTTCTGTCCCACCAGCTGCTAATAGGTTGATGCAAGACTGTGGTTCTGATCTTGCAGCTCACCATGATGTCTCTGGGCAGCAAATTGTTGGACAGTACAATGAAGTTTGGAAAACTTGTGGAAGTTGCTTTGTATGAGAAATTGAAGTACAGTTCGAACTATTCAAAAACTTGCTTGGTTGATACTGCTGACCAGCTCATTGAAACAACTTGTTTACCTTAACATAAAAGAAAAAAAAAAAAAAAAAATCCTTTGGAATGTAATTGCTTGGTGGAATTGTTGAGATCTAACTAATGATTTTTTCCATTCCAGGATCACCAGCCTTTTGCAAATGCTCATGATGTGCTGGCTCGTTCTCGGAGCCGTGCCAATGTATTGAACAAAGTGGAGTACGCGCAGCAGCGTTGGAAGTTACAGGTCCAAGAGCAACGCAAATCTGTCTTCGACCGTCATGTTGTGCTGAGTTAATTGTGTCTCAAGTAAAATAATTCCAGGGAAGTAAAATGGACTAATTGAAGTTGCTGACTTATGTCTTCCTGATCCTGCCAATTCAGAAGTGTTTTCTTGAATGGTTCATTACTGATTTTAAAAAAATAAAGAAAAAAATATTTGAACTTTGAAGGAATATACTGGAGTGGAAGCAATTTAAAAAGATTACTTAACCAAAAACTAAAATCTTTATGTTTTCAAATGGCTTTTACTAACAAAACTGAAAAGAGGACAAACACAGATATCTTGGGTTACCACTGTGGTACCTTATTTACAGTTGTGACTTTATGGTGGTTTTTAACTAGGTCTTTCTCTCTACTATTTATGTGGTTAAAAAGTACCTGGGAACACAGTAATTACTTAAAACTCACTAATCACTTTATGTAAAGATGTTTTGTAAATATACTTGGATTTTTCTGCTGACTAATGCTAGGTACTGGAAATCTGAATCTTGCAGTGTAGTTTTCATATCAGGGAGTGAAATCCTCATTGGCTGTATTCATCATTTGGTTTCTTGCACTCGTACTTTCAAGATGCTTGTATGTCAAGTGATGTTTGCAAATTTAAGGCAAGACGTAAATGGACACTGACTCTTTGAGCTGCATACTTAAAGTACTGTGATGTAGATAAACTCAAATGCAGTGCATATCAAGACAGTGTTGGCATTTTGTTCTGTTTTGCATTAATAGCTTAATATATTGTATGTATGATATCTCTTAAAAAAATCTTTTCATGGGTAAAGTCTCAGGAGTTAGTATATGATGAAATATTTATTATAAAAATCTTTCTGCATTTGCCTGGATTGATGGTGTAAGGCACATACTTTCTCTAGCACCTGTCATCTTGGGAACTAGGTGTATTTTTTAACCTGTGATTCTGTACTCATCCCTCTTAAGAGGTATACAGTTGCTAGATGACTAACTTTCATATATCCCCTTTGGAATGTAACAATTAAAGATAAAACTGATTTTTGAAAAACAGATGTGCATTATCTGTATGTCATCATTTTTCTTCCTCATTACCCTGCATGTAAATTCCATCTATAAATGCACTTCTCTGAAAATGCTTCAGGGTAGAAATAGGCACTTAATCAGTGCTTAGATAGAGGAAAGAAAGGCTCACCAAATTGCTAATTGAAAAAAGTTTTTAATTCTTACTCAAATTTAGCTATACATATATAGTTACCTTACTGTCTTACACAGTTTTCTGTTCCAGTGTGGAAGGAAATGATACATGAAACAGTACTATGTGTTGCTGGGTGCAGTTTTGTCTTAGTCCACAGCCTGGGGGGCAGAGTAGCATGGGAAATAAACTGTACCTGTACATGTAGCTCTGCCATGTTAGGGGTGGAAACCTAGTTGCCCCATAAGAACATTTGCATTTGACTGCAGCTGTTTTGCAGGTACAGAGCTTCATTCTCATATCAGTCCTGTAGCCTTCCAAAAACTGAGTTAACCTGGTGGGAATTATAATGGGTGGCTACTTGGTGGAGGCATAGAATTCTTTTTTTAAATTACAAAAAAAAGAAGAAAAAAAAAAAGGCATAAGGTGGATCGACAGGACAAAAAAAAATATCCAGACTTGGGTTTAGTTACTGTGTTCAACACCCTACCCTGATGAGTCAATAACTGGTTATGACAGTGATGTACCTAGGGTCCCCTAAAGAAAAAAAATGTAACTTGTTTGTCAAAGACATGCCTCTCTACTAGCTCTCGTAGGTGCTCTACCTCTTGGCTGCCGTTCTGATGAGGCATGAAGCTGGAGTGGGAAGGAGGATGCAGAATGCAGCATCATTGTGGCCCCACACAAGAGCAGCAGAAGCAGAATGTTTTCTTTGATGGCTGACAGTCCCAAGAAGACAAGGCTGGGTGTATGTAGCGCTCTCGGTAGTAGATCAATTGTTTCTAATCTTGCAGTGTCTTCAGAAGTCTTAAGCTAAACTGGTTTGGTATTAGGTATTTTTGTCTGGTTTTACTTTGATCAATAGAAGGGCCAAATAGTGAGATAGTCTAAAGTGTCAAGGAAATCCTGTAAAATGTAGGAGTTTTGAAGTTGGGTGTACTATTTCCTTGCACCTGTACAATTGGACAGCTATATTCTGATACATGTAGCATCTCTATACCTATGTGGATTTGGTTATACAGACCGATTGCTCCATACTATGTTTTGAAGTTTAAGCAAAACTTTACAAGGTTTGTCTTGCTACTGGTTGCTCACTTTTTTCAAATTTTGTTTTGTCTACCTCCATAAATGCCTTATTAGAGACCTTTTATATGGTGTTATACTTCTTAACGCTAAGGGAATTTCCCAAAATTACAGGTATAATGAAGATTAAATTTGAGGATATTAAGCTAACTAATGTCTGTTCTCATCTCCAATCTGGACACAAATCCATCACAAGTTTCCTCTAAATAAATGCTCATTTTCTGTGCTTAAAATGGAAGCTATGAAAATTACTTTGCTTATGCTTTGATGGTAAATATTTGACTGAATTCTAGCTGATTGTTATATTTAGACATTAAAGGATGAAATACCAATAAATGAAAATACTGCTTTAATGAACTGTAACAGAATACATACAAGCAGTAAACAAAGTAAATTCCTGATTAGTTTTTCAGGTAATCTGGTTGTGTTCAATACAGTTTTAAAATTTCTAGCCCTTAATGCCAAGTTGTGTTGCCATCATAGCTGTGGTGTGGGTGGAAAAGCCAAACCAGAAATGAGCAGATCTAACTGTAAGCTACTTTGCATGTTGTCAATTGACTATAAATTGCAGCAGTCATTGACTCAGCCGAAGAAGCTATGTAGTTCAGGTAAGGGACTTTCATATTGCTGTATCTAGCAACAGATCTTCACTGAATATCGATGCTTTTGTAAATGTCTTCTACCAGCTATTCAGTCATAGTGCTTCTGTGGCATTTTAATGAATTGTGTTTAATATGATCTCTTATTTAATCAGGTGTAAGAAAAATGGAACATTAACGTCTTTTTTTTAATATCATTCAGATATTTTCAGGTATTATTCATCAGTCTTAAAATAGCACGTTGTGTTTCCTTGGATTTTACTTTCATCTGAAGATTGGTGAGTCTCTAGTCTAAAAGGAAAATGATCCTAACACTTGCATTTTGCGCTTTGTACAGGTAGTAAGGCAGCAGGTAACAGTTTTATGTAATGCTGTTATGCAGCAGAAGTGTCAGTACTAAACAACAAATACTGCAAGTATCTCTTCTTGAGAGGTTGTGTTGGTTTTGCTTTCTTCTTCTGTAGTAATGCTTTGCTATGAAGTTGTTTGGGGTTTTTTGCTATGTAACAGGCTTTTTTTCCTCAGACAATGTTTTTAAATTGTTAGCAGTAGAAAGTTTTTAGGCAATAACTCAGCCTGTGTAAGTAGGTGAGGGACAGATGACTGTCTGCTATTCTTATTTTATAATGAGTTTATATATTCACCTCTGATTCTCTGCATGTATATTGATGTAAAATGGATGTGTTTTCATCCTTTCAGCCTACTTACAGAAGTACCTGTTTAAGATGTATGTGATGCATCTTAAGATGCATCTCTCTTGTCTAACAGCATGCTATAAATGAATTCTTAACTCAGGATTTTTGTTGAGACCTGTTTGCATTAGAAAAAGAGATGATACTGAATGCAGAGGCATTTTGATAGAATATGTTGTGAGGATAAGTCCATACTGAGTAAAAATTCTCTCTGTATTAAACACGACAGGTATGAAATCATTAGAAAATGTTAAAATATGCCCCTGTCCTTATGACAGATTAAGAGGATCCCATTTATGTTATGGAACCATGCTCTGATCATTTGAAGCTTTGCAAGGTTTTTGTGAGTATGGAATCTAGATGTTGCTAGTAAGCTAGTTTAGTGTTCAGGTATGTGTTTTCCATTTTAGAGGGTGTAATATAACCTGGGTGTGTTAGACAGCAACATATAGATGTGGAAGTGGATGGTGAGTAAGAGCAGTTTTGGATAGATTCTGTGTAGGCAAGTATTGCTTGCAATCAGTGAGGATGGTTCACCGTAATTCTTCAAAAATAGAACAGTTATTTAAAATTTATTTTAAAGTAGCTATTAGGTAGTATTGTTACAGTTATGCTGCTGTTCAGCTGTTTGAATAATGATATTGGGAAGACGCTATAATGTAGCTTCCTATAAACCACTGCAAGATTATCTTTCTGATAAATATGTAAGGGTGACTTGAGTAGTTATGCGTGCTGTAGTGCTGCTCTGAAGAGTGGGTATGTGGTTTTAGTAGGCCAGTCTGAGTTACAGGTTTCTAGCAGTGCTCCAACCACTAGGTGCAGTCCCTTCTTAGTAAAATAATTTATAATTGGAACAATATTATCAGGGCATGCAGGTTTTTTCCTTGAATAAATTGATTATTTCATAATCCTCTATCAGAGGATTGTTTTTAGTATTTAATATCTTACACAGGCGAGTGCAGAAGAGGCATGAGGACCCAAGGAGATGTCAGGTTTAGCAGAAATTAATCTTTAAAACTTTCTATGTAGAATGGATTTAATGCATGACAGACATAAAATTAAGATAGAGATCAATTCCTTGCACAAGCTTTCTATCTACTTAAGATAGTATAGTGAATGAGTCATCAAATGAATAGAGAGAAAATGTAATTTGTCAATGCAGGCTGTTTGGTATGGATAGGGAGTCTGTTACTTGAATTGTATATTTTTTTCAGGGAGGAGAAGGGGGTGAAGGGAATGCCTCAGATGTTGACTTGCTTTGGTTATTGTCTGTAGAGATGTAAGTTTTGGAGGATTCAGAGCAAGCTATACCTATGTGAGGTACATAAAGGTAGATCTTCATTTCTAAAGCTGAGGTGAAAGGAGACTGCTGTTTCCTTTAGGAAGCTTTAGTGGCTTTATTTTCTTAAAATCTGTTGTGAATGTTTTTTAATCAGTGTTGCTGACTTGCACCTTCTTGTATTTTTAAATGGGACATTGTCTATTCTGTGTAACAATCTTCTAACGATCTATTCTGAAATGTCACAAATGCATTAAAAGTCTCTCCTGGAAAATGCCAGTAATACCAAGTGTTGGTTAAGTCCAGGTGAGTTTTTTCTACTGTTCAGTATGAGCTGTTTAAACTATTATGTGATTATGCATTTCCAGATTAAATGCAAAGCCTGATGGACGGCAAAAGCTACCGTAACCTCATGGACAAGTTGTCCATCTGTACTGAGACTCAGCACATACAGATGGCTAGGCCTTTCTGTGCTGACCCTGTGGTCACGCTTCATGTGTACCCGGAAACACCAAGCCAGGTCACTTGCTCTGAAGATTTGTCGTTCCTTCCCTTCACGTCTGAGCATCTCATCGTGGAGAACTTCTACAGTGAGCCCTGTAGCTTTCCCTACCAAATGCCCCATTCCAATTACCGCAGAAGTGAGTACTCCTATGGGCCAGCTTTCATCAGAAAGAGGAATGAGAGGGAAAGACAGAGAGTTAAATGTGTCAATGAAGGCTATGCTAAACTGAGGCATCACCTACCTAAGGAATACTTGGAGAAACGTCTCAGCAAAGTAGAGACGCTCCGTGCTGCAATAAAATACATTAGCTACCTACAGTCTGTTCTGTACAGTGATTCTGTGGTGGCAGAAAAAAATGTCATGGAGCCAAGCCAAGCACCTAAACCAGTTAACAAACAAAACCAGTTTTTGAAGACGATCTAAACCATTCAAAATCAAGCAAAAGGTATCCTGTCTGGGAACCTAGTAGCTGCCATATTATTAATGACGTGCATGTTCCTGGCACATCTTAGGAGCAGATCAAAGCCTGCGTCAGTATCAGCCCACAGAAAAGAGTTTTAATTTTGCAGACAGTGACTACACTTAGATACAGAAAAGGCAACTGGGGAAATCTCATCTGAATGGCCTAAGTTAGTTAATTCATGGAAATCTGAAAATATTTCTAAAATTGTCATCAAACTAAAAATGTAATACCTGTATGTGTGAAGTAACTGTTATGTATCATCACAACCTGCTGCTTTAAAATAAAATCTTTCCACTGATGGGACTGAGATTCCTCTCATTTTTTTGTAATGTTACTGGTTTACTCTCACATGCGCTTTCTTAAAAGATTTTTGGTCTAATTGCCAGTGTTTCTCTTAAAAGGTCTTTTTAAAGGTTCCCAGGAATGTTGTTAGATGCCAACAAAAAGGATAAGTTCGTTTAAAAGGGGGAAAATAAAAAGAGGAGGGTAGCAGCTCTCTGAAGCACAGTTACTAAACATAGGAAGAACATAATGTCTTGCAAGTGCTGTTCCATCATTTTCTTATTAATGAATATTTTATTGCCATTAAAAACTGTTGACATAGCCTAATTTCTATTGAAAATTGGATTCTTCTGTCAGCGCCCTTAAAAATTACTAGGACTGCTCCTGTAATACACAGTATGAAGAGGGTTAGCAAGGTCTTGGTCTTGGGGGAAAAACGGTAATACTGCAACAGGAATTTTTTGAGACTTTTCACTGATAATGGTTGAGGTCTGGGGTGGCCTTCCCTGACCTCCCAATAGGCTCCTCTGTACTATTGATGGTTTCAGTTAAGTGGTTTACAGCAGATTTATGTGAAGATGGTGAAGAGAGTTTAGCTCGTAACCGGCAAAGTGTTCTTAACGTTTGCTGTATGTAAGGGAATTGTATTGTTAATATTAAACAACAATTCTGCTGACAGCATGAGAGCAGGTAGTATGTAGGTGCAGCAGAACGTACAGAAAATGGTTACAGACTTCATAAGTGCTGTATCCTTGTCCCTAATTGCAGTCATCCCCTCTATTATCTTTTTATAGCAGTGAATTGAAAAATGCCTATGAAATGCAATTAAGTATTCCTGCCTGACCCTCCCAAAAAAGAAAGTTAACATTTGTTAAGCAGAAAATGAAGATTAGGGATCACAGCAGAGATTAACAGGTAGATTTCTGCATTGTATTCTGGCATGTTTTTGATAAGGGTAGATTCATTAATCCTTCCCCTTAATTTTGAAAAGGGAAAGTTTGTAAAGCAATTTAATCTCGGCTTGTCTCAGCTTCAACCTTTGTGTCCACATTTCAAACAAGTTTATTTGTCACACCCTGTGGTGGTATGACAGATTTGGTTTTTTCCCTAAATCTCAACCATTGCTTCATATGATGCTATTTTGCCTGCAGTTATAGGTAAAAAGCCTAAAAAGGATACTGTGCCCTCTTATAATCCCTTCTCTGCCCCTGCAGTTTTTCAGTGCAGTATCTAGATCAACAGGGAGCTGAAAACTGGGCGAATGCGTGGCAGAAAATGGTCCTCTCTGTAGTCACCTTCCACCGGTTTTTAACCGGTAAGGTCAGGATGTCCCATCCTGTAGTAACGGCTGTGGCAACCTCCGTAGCAACTAGGAAACACTGGCAGCGAATGGCTTCCTGCCTCAAACAGGCATAAGGGCAAGATTTCTGCGCTGGAACTAAATCCAGATGGACCAGATGTAGTGTTACCGATAGCTGGTAAGTTTGAAACATGGCTGTGTCTAAGTGCTTGGAGTTACTTGGCGGGGGGGGGAGCGGAAATAAGTCCCACCGGGGTGTTGCACAATTGCCTTTGTCAGTGCCCTGTGCTACACAGAAATAGCAGACCTGGCTCTCAGCAGTGACAGTGCTGAAGAGCTTTAAAATGGGCTTTAACGTAGAATTGGTAGTTGCATTTCTTCTCAAAGTGTTACTGATTCTGGCTGGGCTTGGTTTGTAATAGGGGAGTTTGCATAGCTGTGAAACAAGTGAGTATACTGTGTTATTTGCTGACTTAAAGACGTGTTTTGCAGCAGTTAATCCACTCTTCTTGTTGGGTTTGGTGTGCTAGTTTTCTGAAATTACGTGTATATGGGAGTCCTCATAGAAAGGACTCCCAGATCATATCTCTTAGATAAGAGACAAAATAACATTTTAACATAATAGGAGAGCTTAAACTCTTATTTTGTAATTTAAGTGCCTAATTTGTAAATTAGGCACTTAAAATTTATATGTTGTTGAGTTTCCATGCAAATTTTACCCTAAGCATGCTAAACATTTCTAAGCATTATTAAAAAAAAAAGTAATAAAAAGAAAAAAAGAAAAAAGGCATGGAAGCTTGTCTACTAAATCTTGTCAGATACCAGAGATAGCATCACATCATCAATCTTACCATGACAGCCTCTGAATAGTTACCATTTGTCAAATCTGAGAAACTCGTTCTTTCTCATGGCAAGCCATAATCCTACTGTTATAAAACATGACAGGACAGCTGAAAGATCAAAATATTTCCTCTTAATACATCACTATAAATAAAACAAGTAACAGGCAACTGTAATCTAATGTCAGGTTCAAAAATTGTCACGTTTACTCAGCTTGTCAACCTCAGCTGTAGTTTCTGTCTCAGCTTGTGCAACGGGGAAGATTTGGCTGGGGCTGTGTACAAGAAAGCTTTGAAGGAGAGTGTAGGTATAAGAAAAGAGAGCTGCATGTTACAGAGGGAAACAAAAGTTGGAGGGAGGTGAAAGCTCTTGCTTTCCTGGGCATTTTCACAGCATTTCTAGTTTCCTTGGGTGTTTCTGTCCCTCTACCAGACTGGGATTTGGGTGAAGATCACTGAAGTCAGTGATATAGATTCATCTGATCAAATGCCAGTCTGTAGATTCTGAAATCATTCTTTTTAAATAAAAATAAACAATTAAGAAAAGCTACTGATTTATTGAGGTACACTGGAAAGCATTTGCTTGTGTTGGAAAATGCCAGTACATTGTCTCTTTTTTGGTCTTTTTCAACTATCAACGGATCACAACGGAGTCCTGTGGGTATCTGCTTTTGCAAGAATGGCTCATTCGGCTACAGATCACAGGTACTGCAGTGTGATGCCAGCTCTGAACAAGTTCTCATGCTCCAGCGTCGTACCTACTGTCAGCCCCTGCTGCAGGAGCTCTGTTGTACTGCATCCCACCTGGATCGCTGAGCCCCTCACCCCCCAAAGGTAAAAATCAAGTTCTTTGAGTCTGATTTGTTCTTTTTCATGGTATCTAATAGGATAAAACAGACTGGAATGTGTCAGATTAATAAATGAGAAGCTTGAACACCATTTGAGCTTTTCCCTCCCCTGCACTGGCAGTTTTTTAGATGGCGTTAACTAAAGTCATTTGCTACCCCGGAGATTAGGAAAAGCAAAGCCTGAGTAAACCTATCAAAGAAACATTCCTTTACTATTATTTGGATAAATAAAAACATCTTGCGTTAGCAGCCATCTTCTCTGAAATGTTTCTAATGCTTTGTGACAGGGGATTATTTTTCCTGTTTTGAACTTGAACCTGTCATCAACCAGCAGCTTCGCTGTTTACTTTTTACTTTTTGCTGTTGCCTGAATGCCCAATGTAAACCATCAGCTATAGTGCTCTTGAGCACACCTGCGCTGCGCTCTGTGCTGGAGAGGGATCCTTTCTCTATCCTGGCCTTAAGGGTTGCATTGGCTTGCTGTGTAAGCAGCAAAGCAGTTAGTGCAGGTAATGCTGGCCCAGGATTCCAGCAGACTCCTGGCCCAGGAACCCAGTGTACTCCTGGCTCACTTCCTCAAAGTTCCAAAAGGAAGAAATCTGGGTAAAAAAAGGCACTGATGTTTTTTGCCCCAAGAGCAAGGAGATGTCCCAGCATAAGCAAGTTTTCTGTTATTTTCCCACATGCCTTGGCCTGTGAAGTGCTACAAAATGAGGTGAAACGATCCAGTTCTTAAATCTTACAAGATTTTTTTTTTCATGACCTGCAGAAGGTGTTTCTCTCAGTGTTGATCCATTTTCTTTTCTTCAAGGTGCCAATGGCTTACCCACTGCCTCCCCACCCCTTGCCCAGCTTGGAAGAGGCTGAGCGCATTGGGGACATCAGTGGGCTTAGACAGCAACGTCCCTGTGCTGGTGAGAGGGGAACGAGATGGATTTTATTACCATGCTACAGTAAGAGAGGAGATAGAGGTGAGTGACGGTCGCTGTATGGTAAGTCATGGGTGTGTGTAACAGGGTGTCCAGTCCACCAGCAGTCCTCACACACCACCAGAGTGCTGGGTAGCAGTTTTGATTTCAGCTGGTGCATGAATTGGAGAACAGATCACCAGGACGGCTGATGCTCGTGATTATGTCAATTCATAAAGCTCTCAACATGCCTGATTCCATGCGTCCCCTCCTGCTGCCTGGCACGCCGGGTGAGCCTCTTGCACGGAGCATGGCCTCGGGCACCAATACACTGATCACGATCAGATCCTTGTTCTGTTCAGCCCCCTTTAGTGACCCCATTTCTAGGAATGAGCAGGCGTGTTTTGGGCATCCTCATCTCATGCAGAAGATGGGTGCCCCCCGAACTCCTAGTTCCTGGTGAGAGCAGCGTTGTTGTGCACCTTGCAAGAGCAGGTCCTCTGCTTCTGCTGGTGCTGGGCACTGAGCCAGGCTCAGACAGCCTGAGTAGTGGTGTGAGCGGTGTGCTGGCTACTGTTATGTGTAGACACATAACCATCAACACATCAACAGCACAGGAAAAGCGTTAGTGTTTTATGTACACACTTCCAGCTTGGGTCAGCTACAGACCAATGGCTCAGTGTCTTTTCAGAAATGTTAGTGAAAGCTTTAATTCATTAGTTTGTTAGCACTTCAAACTTAACAGAAAAAAGAGTCTATTCTTTCTTGAGAACAGGGAAGTGCCTACTTTCATTGTTGATGGAAAGCCTCTTGACAGGCCTTAATTTAACGAAAATAAAAATTCCCATTAACCCCCTGCAAGAAGCGGTGAGTTAACATTGTATGTAACGAGGAAGGACTTGGGCACGACTGAAGAACAGGTCTGAATGGCTTTAGTGTCCTTTGTTCCCTGGTGCACACAGCATGGTTTGTGAAATCCAGCTGCACTCTATCTGTAGCTTTTTCTTTTGGGGAAGAAAATACAGGTCCTAGAGGCAGTGAATCCATACATGTGCTTCACTCAGCCTGCTCTCTGGTGAGCCTCCCAGAGGTTTTTCTGGCTGTCTTGATGCCAGACTGACACCGCAGTTCGTTACTGTTCAGGCTTGCTTAGTGTTTTCAGCTAGCCACAGAATGTCCATCTGGTGAAGGTTACGTGACCTGACACATTACAGACTGTTTTTCAGAGAAACTATTATTTTTTTCCTGGTAACAGAGTGAAAGAGGCATGTTTCTGGTAGAGTTTGCCAAACCACTTGTGTCACGTGGAAGGCATCCAGTGTGTGTGCAAAAAACATCAAAGGATGACATCCTGGAATATGTGAACAGGATGAAGCACTCCTTACTCCCTGGAGACAAAGTGCTGGCACCCTGGGAGACAGATATGACCAGGTACGGCCCAGGAACTGTCCTCACAGGAATTGAGACAAGGGACCCCTTACGAGGTAAGAAAAGTGCTGCGCCCTTCTTCCTCACCTTGCTCGGGAACACGAGTGAGACTGTCAGGATAAACTCTTGTTGCGGTGCCACTGCCAGATAAATACTGCGCGCAGACAACCAGCTTGTTGAACAACAACTTAAAGCTTGCAGGAGCTGATGGGTCTTGCTGGTGGATATCTGTGTGTAACCTCACCGCTCTGACCATAAGGAAATAGTGACCCATAAAAATGTCACCTTCCGTGTCCACCGATGTGCTATTTCCTGTCTTCTTGGACAAGGCTGTGCCTGCCATGTGAAGGACAGTGGCCTTTTCCTGAGGGATCCAAGTGAGGCAGCTCTCAGGAAGCACCCATCTGTGCTTTAACGTTCGTCTTTGTACCAAATGGTACATCTGGGGGTGATTTTATCACCCAAGTGTAGGAGATTGCAACAGCTCATTCATTTTTCCCATGTCTGACAGTCTCCACTGACTTATCAAAATACTATTCTCAAAGCAGTACTGCTAACTTTGGCAGTAACAACGAAGTTACTCAACCAACATTTTCTTGTTCGTCTGATGATAATTTGGGAGGAAAGATGCTGCCAGGCCTGTTGTCACACCGACGGTGTCCTAGCTGCGCACTCTACCCGCTGTGATATTGTGGTGAGGTGTTACAGAGAGGGGTGAAAGCTGATCCTTCCGCTTGACAGGAGTAGAAGGTGCATAAAGCTGCAACGCCTGGTCCATATGTGTGCACTGCCCAAGCAGGCCAGCTGCTTATGGTTGCTTACCTTTTCTCTCAACAGCCGCAGAAGATGAAGAAATTACAGTGCAGTTCTGGAATGACAAGAAAATGAAACTCCCACGAGGTGTGGCTCTGTGGATCCCTCCTAGCCTGTGGGAAAGGGTTGTAGAGATGATCCACATGCCCTTCACCAGCACGATGAAGGCCAGAGAAAGTCTGGACGCGAACTCTTGTATTTTTTCCTGCAGTCCTAAAACCGCCCTGACTCCTGTTTGTGCTGTACATAGCCTTGCCAAGCACTGCTTGCTCTGCTCACCCTGCAGGCCATGTTTCCACTGTCACCATGATGGCATGTGCTGTTTGTCAGCGTATGTAAGGTGCCTCTGCTCCTGCCATCCCCATGCTGACGCCTGGTGGCCTCTTCCATCCAGGTCTCTGGTCTTTCAGAGCGAAACTGAGGAGGCAGAGTCCAGCAGCGAGCCCTCTCCATGCCTTCTAGAACTGGAAGGTCCGAAACAAGAAGAACCAGCAGCTACCACAGTATCTTCCCCTTCTTCTGATTCAGGGCGGGATCTGGAGCCATCCCCCACTAAAAGTACTGTGGTGGACAGTGCTGTTAACACAGGCTGCGGTTGTCTTGAGAAGCCCAGGCTAAAGGATTCTGCAAGTCCAGAGGGGAAATACTGGAAAAGAAGCCACTACAAGTCCCATCTCAGTAATTCAGGTACCTTTTAATCATCCTCATAGGGAAGCAGCAGTCAGAGGGAAATAAGGAAGCACGTTCTCAGCCCCTTCATCTGGGCAGTCACTTTGCGTGTGATACAGCCTCTCATGCAATATTTCCTCCTCCACAACATTTCTGCTGCCTCATCTTGCATGCTAGCTCTTGTTTTGGTAACTCATCCAATGGAAAACTACCAGAACAATGAATTTAATTTGGGAGCATAGATATCCCTCTCTTGAGTTTGTTTCCCGTCATTTTCCTATACTTTTTGTGATGCTAACATCTTCATTAACCTTCACAGCTAGTCCAGGCAGAAAAAATCACCTGGAAGAATTCCTTTCAGGCTTGAAGTGCATTTTCCTCTCTTCTGAAAGGAATGTTTCTCTGTTTCAGCTTTGGTTTCACTCTTCATAAGGCTTAGATACA